GAGGTCCCTGTGTCCCTCGGATCCCCATGTTTCTGGGGTCCCTATGTCCCCAAGATCCCTGTGTCCCTGAGGTCCCTGTGTCCCTCGGATCCCCATGTTTCTGGGGTCCCTGTGTGCCCAAGATCCCTGTGTCCCTGAGGTCCCTGTGTCCCTCGGATCCCCATGTTTCTGGGGTCCCTGTGTGCCCAAGATCCTTGTGTCTCCGAGGTCCCTGTGTCCCTCGGATCCCCATGTTTCTGGGGTCCCTGTGTCCCCAAGATCCCTGTGTCCCCGAGGTCCCTGTATCCCTTGGATCCCCATGTTTCCAGGGTCCCTGTGTCCTCGAGATCCCTGTGTCCCCGAGGTCCCTGTGTCCCTCGGATCCCCATGTCTCCGGGGTCCCTGTGTCCCCAAGATCCCTGTGTCCCCAGAGCCCCTGTGTCCCCACTCAGCAGTTACAGCTCATGGTGCCGCAGGGACCAGAATGAAGCTGACAGGAGGAAGCTGGAAGTTATTCCCAGACTGACTCGGCTGGGAAGGGGCCACCTGCACCCACCCCAGGTGGGCAGAGGTGACATTCCTGGCATTCCTGGGAATTGCCTGTGCCCCTCGGCTTGGAAATTAACCCTTTTCCTGCTTATTGGCAGGAAAACACGGAGGCATAGCCTGCGCCGGCCCCTCGCAGAGCAGCCCCTGCCCGTGACCTTATCCCCGGCTCCCTCCGTGCCACCAGGAGCTGCCAAAGCTCCCTATCACCCAGCAAAGAGCTGGGATCAAACCCAGTTAGGGAAGCGAAGCAACAAGGGGACAGTTTGCACAGGGCGCCGTTGTATTTTGGGAATCTCCCGCTCCTTCCCGCCTGCTCCCGGGCACAGGGYGCTGCAGCAGCCCATGCAAAATGCATGGAGCAACATGGAAAAACGTGCGCAACGCGAGGGCGCTGCATAATGCATGCACAGGGGCTTTATTTAAGGCCAAGATATGGGCCAATAAAGTTAATTGTTTTTGTCTGCATTCCATCCCCGCTAATATTATATATTTTGGGGGGTGAGGAAAAGATACGGCCGCGCCGCAAGAAGTTGCATTAATTCTTCGCTTGACATGTTTTATTAAAAAGAATAAATTCAGTTGCATTTTCAAAAAAAAAAAGAGAGGAGAGAGAAACTGCCATTGTTTTTTTCTTTCCCTTCATTTTTTCCTACCCCCCCCCATTTACATATTCCGCGTGTAAATATTTTTTCATAAAACCCCTCCGAACGGAGAGGCTCTGCTCCGCGCGCCCCGCGCCAAATATATTACAGACATTTATATGGATGGCAGGAAGGGAGACGGAGGGCTGAAAATTTCCAGGCACCCGGTGATGGATGGCGCACGAGGCTTCCCCTGACGCTTTATTGAGTTTCCGATGATTATCTCTCTCCGAGACATTTTTTACGGATGACGGCCGAGCTGTCACAACGGACCATGGGGGAAAGAGGAGCCCAACAATAATAACACTTTAATCTCTTTACCGCGCTGCTCCCTAGTATCGCAGATTCATCTTCCCTGACGCACGCAGTTCATTATCCAGCCCCTCCCTGGGTAGGAAATGACGACAAATAAATAAATATACATAGGCCGCCTGGATGCTGCGGGAGAGGAAAGGGAGCCGGGTATTAATTGGTCTTCCCGGAGTTCCTGCGGTTCCTTAGTGGAGCAGGGGTTCCTTGCGGTGGTTTTTTCCTCTTCTGTTTCTGGGAGACCTTCTGAAACCTCTTGGAGATGGTGGGGTCGCAGGGTGGTTGAGGTTGGAAGGGACCTCTAGGGATCGTCCCAGACTTTGGAGCCCCTTTGGATGGTCTCTCTTTGGAGACCATCCCGTCCAACCCCTTGCATGCAGGGAGACCCGGAGCAGGAGGCACCAGCTCCATCCAAGCGGGTTTTAAGGATCTCCAGAGCAGGAGCCTCCGCAGCCTCCCTGGGCAGGTTGTTCCAGGGCTC